TTCTAATTGGGGGTGCCACGGCCCGGGGGCGCACTTTGGGGACCCGGAAGAGCGCGGCTGCTCACTGGGGCGCCCCAAGGCGTGTTCTTAAGGGGCCGCTTCTCTGGGATCCCTTCGATTTTGTCGGGGGCTGTTCTGCATCCCGGGGACCCCTTCTGAACATCTTGGGGTGCCCTTCGGAACATACTGGGAGTCCATTCTGATTATGGGGGGCCTGTTCTGAGAATGGCACCCATCTGAACATGTTGGGGTGCCACTCTGAATATCTTGTGCTGGCCCTATATGTTGGGGGGTGCTAGTTCTAAATTTGTTCAGGAGCCCCTGCGAGCTTCTAGGGGAGCTGTTTCTGAGTATGTTGGGGTGCCATTCTGGACATCTCGAGCAGATTTTGGGACCCCCTCTAAATATTTTGGGGTACCCTCAACACTGGGTGCTGTGCTGAACATCTTCGGGGTTCCTTCCCTTGGGCAGTTGGTTGTGAATATCTTCGTGTGCCAGTTCTGAAAATCGTGGGGGCCTTTCTGAACATCTTGGGGGGCCCACTGAAAATCTAGAGGGGTGTTCTTAGCCTGTTTCGAACATGTTGGGGTGCCCATCCTGAAAATCTTGGGGGCCCTTTCTGAGCATCTTGGGGTTTTGAGTATGTTGGGTTGTCCGTTCTGAACATCTTGGGGGGGCCCTGCTGAATACCTTGGGGGTCATTTTGAGAATATTGGGGGTTTCTGAAAATCTTGGGGGCACTGGAGCATTTCGGGGACCCTTTCCGAACCTTCGGAGGGCCCCTCTGCGTTTATGTGAGAGAAGCAGGTCGTTCGGCCGTTCCCACGTCTGGCCGTTCCCACGTCCGGCCGTTCCCTCGTCCGGACGCCTCGCGTCCACCCGCCAGGGGGCGGCCTGGAGCGCGAGTCCGTGGGCTCCGGCGCGTGCTGCAAACCAGAGGCCACCGGCGTCCGCCCCCCACCCTTGGGGGTGTCCGACATTCCCCCCCTCCGTGTTGTTTCTTCGTGCAGCCTTGACTGTGCATCTGGGGGTTCAGCTGCGTGCACCCCCAGAGGCAGGAGCGAGGATTCGTATCCTGAGCAGCAAGATCAGCGCTGAAAGATTTAGCCCCGTTTTCTGGGCTTAAATTCGCCCCTGTGCACACAAGACCTGGGGTACAGGCCAGAGGAGTCGGGGGGCGGGTCCCCCAGAGACAGAACAGGGAGCATAGCAGGCCGATCCGGTGAACCCCCCTGCACAGTGGGCGGTGGGGAGACAGCGGAGGTCCGCTGCGCCCTGGGGGGGTCACTCCCTGGCCAGGGGGGATGGCGCAGGCCGCAGCGGTCACCCGGCTTCACAGCGCTGCGCCCCCACCTGCTGCACCCCCGGGAGCGAGGCCCCTAACTCCGTCCTGGCCCCGGAACAACGAACACCGACGGTCACCCGCTGTCCAGCGACGGGCATACGGCCTCATGGCCGGCTGCGGACCCTGCTGCAGGACTCGGCCAGCAGGGCCGGGACCGGGGTGCCGCTCAGGTTTCGGGGTGCCCCTCGGCCGCAGCCGGAGCAGCGACGGGCGGCCGGCAGGACTGTCCGGGCGTGTCCAGCGGGTACGTCAGCCTGGGGCAGGGTTTTATCTGGGGCGTCTAACCTGCAACCCTTTTTTTTAAAAAAAATGTTTATTTTTACATCATTTTGTACATTTTGCCCCGTCTCAGTAGTGACCCCCGTGGGCTTCTGTCACCGCGTCACCCGTGTTCCATCGCCACGGTCCC